GCGGCCGTCGGCAGGGGATACGGCGCGTAACGATAGGTGGTGGGGGTGGGTGTCGCGACCATCACCAACTCACCGTATGCGCCTCTGTTGGCCGCTCGCGTCTTCGCCAGGTTCGCCGGGAGCATCACTTCCTTCGGCTGTGCTTTCTTGCATTCGACCTTGAAATTCAACAACAGAGACACGGATCAGTTGCGCCCTAATTCCCTCGCTGCTTCGTGGGATATTAGTATCTTGGGGAGGGCGGTGGATATAGGATGGAGTTGGAATGGTTTGGGAATGGGATAGATATTTTTTCGAGTCTCCTCGTTTGAAATTTAGGTGTTGATTCGAGAATAAATTTAATAATTATAGCGAAAGAGATCAATTTTCAAAATAAGGATTATAAATATTCGTAAGGAGAAGTGTTGCAAATTCTCCTAATTAAAAATAATTCGACGATCGCGGGTAATCAACTCTATGTTATTTGGAATATTATCATTATCAAATAGGCGACGATGTTTTTATATCAGGCGATGTATTGGTGGATTATTGGAGTCGGGATTATCTATTATCGGGGTCGTATGGATTTATGGGTAACGAGAAGTGGCATCTAGCTAAATCCTTGATTGACGTCACAGGAATTTGTCTGGTAGTAGACGACAAACAGTGAATTGTCTATTACCGTGGGACCTGTGTGATCTCCGCTACGAAGGGCTTTCGAGAAACCGCTTTTCGTCTTTCACATGCTCGGCCGTGATCGTTCGCGAATATCCGTGTGTGTCGCGTGCGTGCGTGTCAAATGCAAATAACCACGACAGCCCTTCTCAATTATACGGAAAATTAATTCCGCTCGACGCCGTATCCGCAGACGAAGAGCGGAAGGCAAATACCGTTTGATACCACCTCTGCGGCCACGTGGCAGGATGAAGGAGGGACGAAGAGAAAGAGAGAGAGAAGGGGAGAGGAAGTTGTGCTCTCCTCGTTCGTCTACGAACGAACTTTCTCAACCGACATTCAAGACTCACCATTTTGTTGTTGATTTCGTGGAAATGAATCTCGCAGACTTTGTCGACCACATCCTCACTTTGAAACGTGACGAAGCCAAAACCTGAAACATAGAACGAGAAAGATCTCGTTTAATAATCGGTAACGAACGATGCCTCGTTATGCGATATGAAGCGGAATATGGTACGATGGAACGATGTAATTAAGCTTAATCGTTGAAGTTTTTGATTAAGTCATCTCTTCCGTTGAAAAATTATCTTTCTTTCTTGTATCTTTTATATTTTACACCAAGGGGTGTTTCTCATCGTTTAATATATTATAGTGTTCGCTTGAATTCCAATAGAATTCTCATTTCCCATTATTCAATGTATCTTAGAGCGTAGGAGAACTGGTCATTCAATTATAAACGAAATATCATTATAAAGTAATTTTGTCCAAATTTATATATTTCTAATATGTCGTGAAAACGAAAAGCCTAATGTTAAATAAAAAGTTCTATTTAAAGATATCGAATCTTAAATCTCTTAATCGATCTTTAAATAAATCTTGTCACGGTTCTAATGAATATATATATATATTTTTTTTTTTCGATTTAATTCGCCATATTTAAAAACCATCCCGAGTTAACGTAACTTCCACACATTTGTCGCCGGCAAGATAACTATCCCGTCGGATCTTCCATTAATTCAGAGAATCGGACGAGTTTTGTTTCCTTTCCAACCCCTTTCTCGTCGGAGGCACCCGTTCCACTCGAACGCAGTCTAAGCATCTCTGCTCGAAATTTATTTCGCTCGAGGACGAGCACGAAAATGAAAGGTCGAGGAAGGGATGACGAAACGATAGTCTCGTGCAAGAGGGAAAGAGAGAAGGAGAGAGGGAGAGAGAGAGAGAATGAGCCAACGAAGAGTCATAACTTAATCAAGCATCAAGGGTTATTAAAAACTTTGCATTGGTCTCCAGGTGATTTTAATCTCGCCCCTTCGCTGACTTCTTCCTCCACCACCCATCCTCTTCCTTTCCTTCTCCTCCTCCTTTTCCTCCTCCTCTTTCCTTCTCATCTCGTCCTGATCCTTACGCGGGAAGCGTAGTAATTCAGGCTCAACTTATCCGACGAGTTATACGAATCCAGTGCGCGATGTCGCTTAAGATAACCAGGAGTTAGTGCTTCCTCGCTGAAGCAGTCTGCGCGCGGGAGAAGAGGCGAAACTACGCCGGATGACTCGTAATTAAACACAGCCGATGGATACTGGAGCCGAATGCGAGTCGACAGCTCGCGATCCTTCGACTATTCTCTCTCTCTCTCTCTCTCTCTCTTAAATTTTATACCGGAAATAGAATCGGGCGCGCTGAATTAAATTACGTTGGAGATCGCGCGCGCGACTATTATAACAGATATCGACATCGTTAAGTTTATTATATAATCCACTTCGTGATCGAGTGATTAACATTCGATCGATCCCAATTTTACATCTTTATTTATTTAGATATTAATAAGGGAGGAATATCACGGGCCACGAAACGACAAGATCAAAGTTGTGAGTGTAATGAGAGTAATGTACGGGATTACTTTTATTCCGACGCTGGCCGGAATGCTAATGCACGGGAAACTTCGGGCGGAAATTATTTGATTTTCTATGGAGAGTGGTTTCACGGGGAATACAAAGGGAATATAAAGTAGTTAAATTGATGAATGTGTTATTCGTACAAGGTACGAGCTTATGGGGCGAATAGATGGAATAAAACGCGGAGTGT